CCGAAGTTTCCGTATTGTATGCGCTGTCTGTATTTATTTATTCAGCAATTTCTATTTTGTTCCCTTCAAAGAAGTTCTCCTCAGTCATGAAACACTTGTGCCAGCGGTTTTTCCAATCTTCGAAATACTTCTGATATGCACTTTTTGGTATGTGCTTGAGCTCTTTCAGCGATTCGGTTTTTATCTCCTCAATCGTCGCAAAACGCCGTCTTTTCATGGGTCTTTTCAATCTTGGGAATAGGAAAAAGTCGCAGGGGGGCAAATCTGGTAAGTACGGTGGCTGAGGCATGATCACGATGTTGTTTTTGTCCAAAAAATGACGAATAAGCAATGACGAGTGAGCAGGTGCTTCATCGTGATGCAAAAGCTATGAATTGTTTCTCCACAATTACAGGCATTTTTTTCGTATCGCTATTTGCAAGCGGTGCCTAACTTCAAGATAATACTCCTGATTGACCGTACGGCCATGTGGCAAGAACTCCTGATGCATTACGCCACGGTTATCGAAGAAAACAGTTAGCAAAACTTTGACATTTGATCAAACTTGGCGTGCTTTTTTGGTCTTGACCCTCCTGGGCTCTTCCATTGGGACGACTGGATTTTGGTTTCGATGTCACAACCATATACCCATGCTTCGTCAGTTATGACCCTCTCAAGTAAATCTGGATGGCCGTTAAGGTCTTTCAACAGCTCCTGCGCTCCTGCGCCGGTATTTCGATCAAAATTCAGTAGTTTTAGTACGAATTTCGCTGCCACACGCTTGATGTCCATTTCTTTCGCAACAGCAACTTTTCCAGTAGTGATTCGACGATTCTCCATAAAAATTTTCTTCACTTTCTCAACATTTTCATCGGTTGTTAATGTGCTGGGGCTTCCAGAGCAAGCGTCATCATTCACATCTTTTCGACCTTCTTATAAGAGCTCGTACCACTTGTAAACGTTTTCCAGACTCAGAGTACAGTCACCGTATGCCCATGTCAATATTTCAAGTGCCTTTGAGCACTCAACTCCATTTTTCACACAAAATTTCATGCAAATTCTTTGAAACATATTTTTCGATAGCAGCGAATCGCCGAACAGGCAAAACTTTTTTGCCTCTCACCAACGAACTATACATGCTAAACAGTTGAAAAAGTGAACATATGTTCGAAGTGAGTGTACCAACATAAAAAATCGCTAATCGAACGTACTTATCCCGCAAAATTTGAACATTCACCTTGATTTTTGAACAGTATCTACACGTTACTTTGATCCGCCTCGACAGTCGATGGTTTTTATTTACCTTATTTACCTTATTTACTTTTTTTATACCTATGATGAATATTGGAAGTAAATTCATTTTGTTTCACATTTCTGATCCCAAGTTCATAACTCCAATGTATCGTTCATATAGAAAATTGAGAAGAGTTATTCATTCGACCTCCATTCGCTGTGTGGTATCTTTATTAAATACGACGTTGAAAATATTATGCTACGACGCTACGAGATTACATTACAGCACATTCCAAACATTTTCGGAAATATTCTCCACCAGTTGAACGTTATTGTTATGCCGTTGGCGATGGCTGATTCCTTGTTTTCAGCAAAAACAAATCAAAACGAGTTGTATGGATGGAAATTGTTTTGAAATTCACGATGATATTGCAAATATTTGAATAGTGTGGACACTCATCAAATGGATCTTGGTGTCACATTTGACCCTAAACTGAGTTACTCCATTCACTATGACACAATAACATGCTCAGCCAAACAGATGCTAGGGCTCATTTATCGTAACTGTAACAACTTTTGTAGAAAAGACAGTTTTTTAACTCTTTTCAATGCATACGTCAAATCTCGGCTGGAATATGCCTTCCTTATATGGTCACCCATATACAATGTCCACATAAACAAAATCGAGTCTATACAAAGAGGCTTCATGAAATATATTAGTTACAAGCTAGAAGGAGTTTACCCTAAACAAGGCATCGACAACAGAATACTACTGAATAAATTTAATATATTATCCCTTCAAAACCGAAGAACCTACTACTCTATAATTTTCATTTATATCTGATTGACTGTCCCGAACTACTCTCCCACTTCAACTTTCATGTGCCACGAATCAATTCTAGAAATGAATTGACTTTTTATCTACCAAATTCTAGAACAAACATGTGACTCAAGTCACCAGTTGTTGCAATGAGCAAACTTTACAATCAACTCTGTGAAAATCTCGACATTTATTATGAACCTATTGGTCAAGTTAAGAACCACGTTAAGAAACTTTAACACTCTAGTCAAAATACATGGCGTTGGAAGCTAAGAGCTTCCAACGCCACTTGACTGTCCGATAATATTTTTATTGACTTGTGTATGAGGTTGAATTCTTCCAATTTCTCCACAGACAATTCAAAAGCGTAAATTTCCGCTTGGAATACAATCGCATAGCTTCCTAGGCACCTGCACCAGAACCGGAAGGTGTTTTTGATCCATCTGTGAACCAACAACTATCTGCTCCTAATATTTCCTTCTCCCGGAGAATCCGGTGCTCTCTACTCTACTCTACTGGCGAGAGTAGGAGTGGTAGAAATTGTTCTACTTTGGTAAACCCACTGTCAGATAAGTCAGGAGTATATGAGCTCCAAAAGAATAAAAGCTGAAAAGAGATCATTTTGATTGCCATCATTTCAATATTTGCTTCAAAAAACTATCTTTTGACATGAGTTCAATCCTGACTATGAGCGAATATATTTGAAAAAATTAGGACTTCTTGCAACCGCACTGTGTAAGAAGCACTATTTACTATTTATTCCACTGTTGAACTGTATGAGGTTGGATTCTTCCAATCTCTCCGCACACATTTCAATAGCGTAAACTTCCGCTTGAAATACAGTCGCATAGGTCCCTAGGCAGGTTTACTGGTGACAGAGTGTGTCTCGCGAACTAACTATATGTGTGTCTATTATATGTAGGACGAAAATTTGTGTTTTGTGTGTTGTCATACACGCCAGTTGGCGACTCTCGAAAATATTCTATGGTTCTGTTTCGTAGATCTCTTGTGCTTGTTCCTCCCTCGAAATCTGTGATGCAACTTTCTAACGACAAACCGTGATTAAACAAAAATTGACAATGGTCCGAAATTCTAGGTTCGAAAAACGTAGATGTTTGTTTGGCGTTAACAATAATTTCAACATCCTTAATAATAATAATAATAATAGTCTTTATTATTTTCAAATAATATACATATAGATTTTAACATTGTATGCAAAAAATAAAAATATTTCTGAAAATAAAGGGTGAAGTTCATTTTCTGCAGACAAACGATAGTTTTACTACGAAAATGTTCTTCCATCAAATGGGTGAACATCAAGAACAGTGATGTAAAATGTTCAAACAGTTGATTTTCAGAAAAAAACACCACCTTCTCCTCCTGCAATCCACAATGTCGGATATCAAAACTGAAAAAGGAATAGTTTCAGTAGAGAATAGTTTTTTTGATAATACTATTCAAAAAATTATCATCATATAAAAATTAATACAGATCAATATAAACAGAGCTTATAATGCTGATGAAATACCTATAAAGTGACATTTTCTTGTGAGGTTTTCACTGGACAGTTTACAAAATTGCAACACGTGTTTCGTTATACAATAGCTTTCTCGAGCATTTTCATACTGTCTGAATTCTACTCAGATAAATTGGTTAAGGTTTTCGCTGCCGAGATTTTCAGTGTTACTATCTTCATTCGGGTTTGAAGGACGTCGTACTTTGGAACTGCTTCCTAACGTATCGCCAGCATGAGTGACTGTCTTCTTCAGAGGTTTATTTATCTTGATGAGTCATCGCTGAATCATCAAGATGAATGAACCTCTGAAGAAGCCAGCCACTCGTGCTGGCGAAATGTGTGCTTCTGATATTATCAATTTGAATCATGAGGCCTTCTCCCTAGGTACTGGCTGATAAATTTACCTGAGTTTAGGTGAAGACCAATTGAAATTTCGAAACATGAAAGAATATTTTTTCCAACTCATAGAATCGGCTTCTGCAATTTGAATCATATGACTTCTTAATGCGTAATAATTTATCCTGACCTCAGGTAGAACCTAAAATAAATATCATCTTACAAAAATGATACATCACCAGTTCTGTAGATTATTCTATCTTTCTTCTATATTTCTTGTTTGAAGACCGCTTGAGTTCCACCTTTACTTTGCTATCAGTGATGCGCTGATTGCGAGACATCTTAGACGGAAGCTGTAATGAGGCTCTGTTGAGCAGAGAGCTGCCCGTCATCATCAGCAGGGGCTTCTCCCGCACCCTATCGTGGGACTGTGAGGTGGGGTTTTCTCTTGCGGTCATCACAAGACTCAATACTGCAGTTCACTTCTTGTGTTAGGAATCACACATTAAAAGGTAAGACCTCGTTAGTCCTTAGCTAGCACAAGTTTCTCAACTTCTGAGAGTTGTCGTTCGTATGGGGGCGGCAGCTGATTGACGGAAAAACAGATTTTCAACAGATTTTAAACAGAATTCAAACTTCTCCCGTCCACTCTTCCCGCACCTATCCTTTCCTTCCCCCAACCACTCCTGTGTGTGTGGAAGAATTGTATATATTTCATTTTGTAAATAATTTGTACTTATAGAGTTTTACCATTGAAAAGAGAAATGAAAAATAAGGAATTTTGATTTTGGTACGTTCTAGTTATTCAATTGACCATCAGGTGAAACGGTGGTTCGAGCCTCGAGACCAGACGATCGATTTTCACTTTGGAAAATATTTTTCATGGATTATTTCTCTTTAAATGAACAAAATCAGTAGTCATATTTCACCAAAATAGTAAAATTTGGACCTTGGAACCAAGTTTCATGAATTTATAATATCATTTTATCTTTCTGGAAACATACTGGTACATCCCTTACTGATCAAAATACTTGCAAACCTATAAATTCAAACTAAGAACCTGGACTAATGTCGTCACTGAGTATATTGACAAAACGGAAAATATTATACGTTACCAAGGAAACGTAGAAGACGCCTATATAAGTTAAATGTAAAAGTGAAACATCAAATCGCTCAGAAATATGGTCATCGTTCACATTAAACACAAAGACGTGAGTCAGTTCTTATTCGAAACCACCCTGAAAACACCAGTCGAAGATTTGGTGAAGACGGTAGTAGCAATTTACAATGGACGGCTGAAAATAGACAGAATTTGCTCGGAAATCGATGAGCTCGCAAACCACGGAACTCTGTTTCCTCCGGAAATCTTGGGGTTGACCGAAGAACAGGTGGAAGAGATGAACCTGACCGATCCATGGGGAGAAAAGTGCCTACCCAGTGGTGGGCACACCTACGAAAAAGATCCCGTTGGGAGGAGAAACGGTAAAAAGCCAACAAAAGCTATGCAAGACGTTCTCAAAAAGGCAGTAACGGACGCTAAGGAAATGATTTCAAAAAATCTGGTTTTGCAAGGTAACCCAACTCAATTATAAAGTTTCATTCTTTTCCCAATGTTGTAGTGACATCAAATAATCTCAGCATACTTTCAATAGACTTTTCTATCTCTAAAAGACACGCCTCAAAAATTATTTCAATGGAAATTATCGAGAAAAGAAAAGAAAATATTGAATATCGTTAATACGTATATAATTTGCTCATCTAAACTGTTGAAGTAATTCAGTTTCACATGGTGGTAAATTACTTGCGTCAAAATTTCTTAGATTTTGCTGGTGGAATTCTTCATTTTCATTGGAAGCATCTACATCATTTATTCCGGAGACATTATATAATTCACAGATGAATTTTTGTATTACATCAAATACATTTTGTTCCCTATCTTTATCAATAAATAATTCAAGATCACCAAATTTAAGGAACGCTTGCTGATACTCAGGAGATTTTTTTGAGTATTTTAAAAGGCCTTTGCTTGCCTTTCTTAAAAAAAAGCAGGATTATAGTCACATCCTGTGATAGCATGAAAGCCTATTAAGCTTCTACATACCCTTGTGAAAAAAGAAAATTAATAATTATGAAGAAAATTATCAAAAGGGTGAGAAATGTTGATTTTTGCAAACATTGTGTTGAGTTGGATGCCTATGCACTCAGTGGCACATAAATTATAAAAATAATAAGGATGTCTCTAGATGAATTATACTTTGTAAAAATGAATCTGGAGGCATATATAAATTCCAAACTGTTTGGCTTCTGTATCAGGAATATCAGCATGTAACANTGCCTTACGGTAATCGATCCAGGCCATAGAAAGGTTACGCTTATATTGTATCGAGTCCTGCGTTACTTTTACTTTTATCATTATTTTTATTATTATTATTAATGCGCCACTGGAATCAATCAAGTCGCCCTAGAGCGCCAATTAATTTTTGTTGTTTCATAATTTCATAGTTTGTATTACTCAAAAGTTCCTTGATATGAATAAAAAACTTATTTTTTGACAACTGTTGAACTAAATTGTCAGTCATGACTACCACACAAGTACTAATTTAGATAAATTACTTTCTTTATAACAATATTTATCGAAGGAATATTGAGTTGTTTCAAAAGTTTTGTTTGTATATCGGTGAAAACTCATTCAATTCAATCGAAATGAGCGCCACTTGAATTTGTTACCCCATAATCACCAATAGACGCTCAGTAGAACCTCATCTGAAAACAAAAAAGAACGTTGAAACGAATTATTGAAACAGTATTTGCATATTTTATCGTTGAAAACATTCGAATTCTCATTGACAACTTTTATATGATCCTAAAAAAATCAGTGCAATAAAATATTTTTCAGAAAAGTGCCTGACAACAAAAATAGTTCAAGAAGCCATTAACTTGTTGAAAGGTGCTGTTACAATTGTTTACCCTATGAAGTTACCTCCACATGATACCATAAGAATGGAATTCGAAAATATCGAAGATCTTACAGGGACGCAAGCATCTTTACAAGTTATAGACCCCACGACCGCTCAAATTTGGTTCTGTGGAAAGGAAATGTATAGGTGAATAGCATATTTATTTTTCAAAACAGTTGGCATGGTAAGATATATACAAGGTCTGTTCAAAAAATAAGGTGAATATTCAATTGTTTAGGGCTACGTATATTCGATTAGAGATATTTTCATTTTTTTTTTCAATATGGTACAGTCGTTTCGAAAATATGTTGACAGTTTCAGATATTTAGCATGTTTAATTTGTTGTTGAGAGGCATAAAAGTTGGATGAGTTTTGCGTGTTCGACGATTTTCTGCTATCGAAAAAAAATGGATCAAAGACATTGCATCAAATTTTGTGTAAAAACTGGAATGAAGTACTCAAAAATACTCAAAATGTTGACAGTGGCATACGATGATTGTGAGGTTAAGTTAGGTTAAGTCCAAAGTGAGTGGGTCTATTCGACCCCCACCGCAACCCGCAAGGATATATTGTTGCTCACACCTATTCACACTCGACCAATAAACCCAGCTTCTTAACGAAGCCGAATAGTTTGTATGGTGAGTGGTCTTTCAGGTTAGATGGTAAGAGTACGGCTCTGCAGAACTCTAAAAACCTAATTTGGTCCCCAGCGGGGCAGGCACAAAGTATGTGCTCTGCTGTTTCATCATTTTCCAAACAGAGGCGAGACACACTGTCTTCCGACAGTCCGAGTATCTGCATATGATGATTCAAATGAAAGCGACCTGTAGGAAGGCCTGTTACACTTCATAGTTCATTCCTACTGTAGTTCAACAACTGTTTGGTATCAAGCTTCGAAGGGTGAATAAACGCCTTGGAGTGAGCGAATCCTGGAAGATTCTGCCAGAAGTCCATAAATCTTCTTGACATCCAGGTGTTCAATCTTTGTTTGGCAAAGCCTAAAGCGATGCCAATGACAGGTTCTAGTTCTATAAAGCTGCTTGCAGCACATTCCTTTGCAAGGGAATCAGCAGCCTCATTACCTTTCAGGCCAGTATGGCCAGGAATCCAGACCAGAGACAATCTGTCAAGTGTTTTGCTACCAATTTGGACGTTGTTCGGTAGGAGCCAATAGCTTCCAACGCCGCTTGCCTGTCCGAAAATATTTTAATTGACTTGTGTATGGAGTTGAATTCTCTCAATCTCTCCACACACAATTCAATAGCGTAAGCTTCCGCTTGAAATACAGTTGCATAGGTTCCTAAGCAGGTTGATATATCTGTCCTGGGTCTGCAACTGAAAACATCTGTACCAGAACCGAAAGGTGTTTTCAATCTATGTGAACCAACAACTATCTGCTCTCAATATTTCCTTCTCCAGGAGGATCCAGTCCTCTATTCTCAGGAACAATACCTTTATAAGGCAGTTCGTAGTTGACAGTTGGAGGCATGAAGTCAGAGGTCATTTCCAGTGTCAACCAACAGTCTGTTGCACTCTGCATTAAATTGATTTGTGCAATTGGCAATGTGCACAAGTTATATGCAGTCCATCTAGCCTCTCTCTCTCTCCAGGAAAATATAAAGAGGAGGTAGATCTAGAAGGATCTCCATGGCCGCTGACGGTGTAGTACCAATGACACCACTGATGGTTAGACAAGCCTGTCTCTGTAATCCAGAGAGCTTCGCCTGGGCCGTTTTCTGTAAAGCGTTCGGCCACCAGGCAATTGCACCATTAGTGATCATTGATATGATAATCATCACTCAAATCCAATGGATTTGTATGGGATCAAGTTCTACCACAAATTCTTCAACATGTTCATAGGAACAGTCTGGCTTTGTGTAAAACTGTTTCCAAGTGAGCGTTTCAGGTGAATTCTTTATCAAGGACAATGCCAAGATATTTCACCTCCGTTCTAAATGGAATGACCACACCATTGAGAGAAAGTGGCGTTAGATCGTCCAATTTCCTTCTCTTGGTGATGGGGATTATCACAGTTTTGCTGGTGTTGACAGACATCTGCTCCCTCAGGCACCAACTGTGAACAACGTTCAACGTGCTTTGTAGGATATTACAAGCTACCCTTTCCGACGTGGACATTGCCAAGATGACAGCCTCTGATGACCATGCACCTAATGGCCTCGCCTTGACGAGTTGTAGTTGTAGTATAGTTCACCGCCATGGCAGAGATCCAGCCAGTTATGGTCGATTCTATAACTTTCCTAGCCAGAGATGATCCTATAGATTCAGGTAGTGCTCCTTCCATATCGGGAAATACACCAACCGGAATCTCCTTGTTGTCAAGGGAATAGGAGAATTTCTCTACAAGGTTGTTCAATGCTACATCTGTCGATTTTCTGGTTTGATAAGCATACTGGTGGTTATTGAGGGGGGATACATATAATGCCATGAGGTAAGGCTGATTGGTCGTACCGATTAAGGGGTAAGATGATTGTACTCTAAGTCAGAAAAATGTGTACAAGTGGAACAAGTTTTTCACAGAAGCTCGCGGAGGTGTGAATGACGCCCCAGAACATCAACAACCGATGAAAATTTTGAGAAAGTGAAGAAATTTGTTATGGAGAATCGTGGAATCACTATCAGAGAAGTTGCTGAGGATGCTGGCATATTGGTTGGCACATGTCATGCATTTTTTTCGAAAATATTATGAATATCTGTTCGACATGATCAGATATAGAGTTTAAATTGGAAAGGAAATATTTTTAGGAGAGAATAGATGTTAGAAAAACATTTTAGGGCTTTCTACTTTTCAATACTTGTACAAACAAACTCTTGATGAACTACGAAGTTTCTTTTCATCAGCACCATTATACAAGACTAAACACTTATTTCTTCCACAAAATTACCACTTTATATCATTGGAGTACACGATATTGCTCTTGCTATGATGACAGGTCGTGAGAACATTCAAAATTCTATTGAAGGAAAAAAGGTTTTGTATTGGAGTTATCCAAAATGGTAATGACATGAAGACAAGAATCTTTTCCCTGAACTTCGAAGTTCACCAAGGGCTTGCTTGTTTTCCATTCAACTGAAATATTTTTAACGCTTTTCAGAACTTCAGAACTTTGTTATTCAACCTAAATTTAAAAATTCAAATTGCTGGGATATTCAAGAATTATAAGAAAAAATCAAACAGAAATAGAATAGAATTTATTAAATATTGTACTGTCATATATCTTTGGAGAATTCAGAAATAGACCAAATATCACGTGAAATGGAAAATTCATCGTGAATAAAAAACCAAAAATCAGAATTTGAAATTGTCTGCAATAATTAATATCAAAATCAAAGGAAAATGGTTCATAAGCTCAACAGATGTCGAAGTGAAGTGAAAAACCTTTTATCATGAGGACATATCAATAAAAAACTTATTGGAAAATGTTGAATACTCTATAATGCATATTGCATACGAACTACCTCGTATATTTCTTATACCATAGTGAGTGGAAAAATTTCCCGAAACACGTCGAATGATTTTGTTTGGAGAAAATTTTTTGAGGTGTATTTCAGGCTTGAACGAGCAACCCCCTAATAGGGGGATCTTCAACCCCTCAAACTTGAATAGGGGAGAGGGGTTGAGTGATACTTTATTTGAAAGGTCTAGAAAGCCTCTTTACAACGGTGTATAAAAAACGGGTAAATTTTCGTTTTGAGGGCACCCGGCGATTTTGGAAAATTTTTTTGTACTTACGTATTTTGATGCGTAGATTACGAATCTGAAAGAAAAAAGCGGTGCACTCCCTTATTTACAAAGTTACGGCCCTCAAAGTTCAGAAAAGGACGACTTTTCAGCCTTCTTTTTCACAAAATGTACTATTTGAAAACACAAGCATTCAATCACTAGGTCACCTTTACACCTCATTCCTCCTTCTTTGACACTTTTCACTTCAATAATCATCATTTTTCGTATAAAAAACTTAATTCAAAAACGAATGCTTCTCCTGGTGACATTCTCCTATTTCTAGGTTAGTTACTAGTAACATTTCAGAAAAAAGCGGTTGGTATTTGCCTCCGCCTACTATTTCAAATTCGTTATACACCACCAAAAACCAATTTACGATTTAAAGAATGAGGGGAAAAAACATTTGAATTACTTTAGGAATATTGACTGTATCAGTCGTACCAACCATGCCACAGTCTTGAAAACCTAAAATAGAGAGATATGTAACCAAAAAGCAGCTCCGTACATTTTTTAAATTTTTATTGAAAAATGTTGATTATTAGAGTGATGAATTATTCCAGAATTGCCTATATTGATGTAACAAATACCATGAATAATTTTTTTATTGATTTTTTTTCGATAACCCATCATTCTTTGAATAATTTGAATCATTTCTTGATTTATAGTGTTGAGCAATGAATCGATGACAATATTTCAAATGATTTACAATATTAGTAATTTGGTAATCATAGCTCAATGCCTCTATAATTCCATTAATTTTTCGCTACAGGGATGGAAAAACCGTGGGCGACTACGTCGGTAAAATAGAAAACTGCAAGGTTATAATGAAGATCTCAAAAAGAGGAGAAGGAGCTCCTGGAAGGGAACCAATCATGACTGAAGAGCAAAGGAAAGAATTGATGTTGCATGCTTACAGAAAGCAAGAAGAATTCAAAAAATTGGAGAACGACGACGATGACAGTTATTTGAATTCTGATTGGGCAGATAGCGGAAATCTGAAGAAAACTTTCCATGGCCTCCACAATATCTCATGGAAACCATGAGGGTTTGGGATTAAAATTGATACGCATCCGTGCAACTTTGCGTATTTGGAAATTGTTTTATATTTCCATATCCTGTAATCGTATCAATTTTGATGTCAATGAACTTGGAATATTGAAAGATGGAATTGTGAATACTAAGTGTTTTTGTTTTACAATATTGAAGTTGAGGTTGAAATATCTTTCAATTCGTGTATTTGTTTGAATGAATATGAATTATTTTCCATATTTGACACTATAAAACCTAAAATCTCAAATTTGAAATACGAGATGCCTCATGTCTGTATTTGTTTGTTATCTCTCTCAATATTTTCATGATGGCAGATAGGTTCTAATTTCCAGATATCTAGTTTCCTCGTTCAAAAGCTTCGTTCCATTTCAACCTCTATAACTCTCAGTTCAGTGTGCCCAAACGATTGAGGAACATCGTCAAAAGAACTCTCCACGTTATTTGAAAGAAACGTCTGTGTATAAAGAGCTTTTCCAAGGAAAAACTAACGTTATCTGAACTCTGAAATTAGATTTCAAATTCCACATACATGTCCTCCCATTGAAATTTCAACACATTCAATGGCAAAAGTAATTTATGACAAGTGAATGATTTTTTGATGACCTTACTGACTATTTGTTGAAATTATCGAGTATAATGCGCAGTAGTAAATCAAATTAGCGGAGAGGAAATAATAAAAACATAGATAGTAAAATCAAAATGAAATATGTATTGATACTGATAACATTCCAGTTGGTATTTTGAAGGATTGAATTCGTTCCGTTACCACTTTCGTGTTTCATTTCCAATGCTTTTCTGAAATCTGAAATTTTTCCGAACCCTTTCAATAAATGGTGAGTTCATTACCTATTTGATATGATGTCCTTGTAGTAGCAAGGATTTCAATAACGAAAACCACTTATTATTTCTATTACAGAAATTATGTTATCTCGAAATAAGATGAATAATTTTTGAGGCCTCTTCAAATATTATTCAAATAACAGGACGCAAAAAGTATCAAACAAAATAATTTCGAGTACTTTTTGGACCTTATATCTAAAAAGATGTTCCAGAAGAAGTGTGCTAGCTCTTTCACTTTTCATAATCCGTATAAATGATTTCTCAGAAATATCTGAAATGAATACCAAGATTTAGACCAATGATGATGATTCCAATGATATCGTACTGATCTAACGTTGTATAATATGAACACTGTTCCCGCTTATTTCATCGATGACGATCTACTTTCGAACACCTCCAAAACAAATTCGATAATATTCAAAACGAAAAATAAGAATTTTTAAATTCCAGAGTACGTTGCATTTGGTAATGTACAAATGCTAGTGCAAAATGCTTGGCCATGTTAATCACAACTTGAACTCTCAGTTACACATCCAGCTAACTAAAGAGCTGAATATATTCGTAGAATAGATCATTTCTCCTTCAGAATTATTCCAGAATTGCCTATATTGATGTAACAAATACCAAGAATAATTTTTTTATTGATTTTTTTTCGATAATCTATCATTCTTTGGATAATTTGAATTATTCCTTGATTTATAGTGTTGAGCAATGAATCGATGACANTCCGTTTTTTGATGCTTATTTACGCTATAGAAAGAACCTACCTGCATATTTCAAGATTATAGGTTCAGAATTTTGTTATCTATAAAGAAAATCGCAAAAGTAATACAACCTTCAACGACATCTGCCCTCACGCGTCTGCGCGATGGCGCTCCGTTGCTTAGACCGCTCCTCTACTACCTCCCATCACCTCCGCCGTCTTACAGTAGACGCGACGCGTGGTGGCTTACTGCTTTGCGTCAAGGTCATCTTATCGTGATAACTTTCAAATGATTTTTTCAAATTACTTAGTGTAAGAGACAAAAGTTATCTATATTAAATTCTTAAAACGAGAATTGTATCAATTTTCATAAGAATCTGACAGATATTCCGTAAATTGAAGCCTATATGTTATTCTGATGTATAAGCTGTATTTATGTAAAGTTTAATCTAAATCCGTTCAGTCGTTTAGGCGTAATAGTCACAAACATTCATACATACATCCAACCTCACAAACTTTCACATTCACATTATCAATATGAATGAGTATAGATATCACATTCATATTGATTTTAGTAAATATATTAGAGGAATGTATCGTCGTTGGTAATGAAAAATGTCAATAAAGAATAGGTAATCATTCACAGTGTCTAGTACAACTGCTCATTAACCTCATCATGATTTGATTTTTTTTAACTAATTTTTCAAAAATGTCACAGGCAGTTATAGATGTGATAGTTGTGTTTGCATTTTATTTTAATCCATAGCCTCGCGAACATCAATAGTCGGTTTCTCATAATTATGAAGTTTGAACCGCCATTGCATGAGTTCATGTTTACACAAAGTTTGATTGATTATCGAACTTGCAACATCTGCACTGACAGTGTGATCAGGCCAACATTCATGGACGTTTTGATATCCAAGTCAACTGAATGAGATGTTGGAATTGAAGTTTTGAATCGGAAAATGGATTGTTATTTTCTCCTGACTCTGAAGTTCATGATAAGATTCTCGCTGATAGGTCATTCAGTCAAATTATTGAATTTCATTAAAATGATCCTCGCACAAAAACAAATTGATTTATTGAACTCCTTACTAGCTATCCTAGTAGCTATTTGGAGGCCTTGTTAACCTATTGTTGGTTTATACTCTTCAATTTTGAACTTTTTGAGTGAATATTCGCAATAGACAGGTTGAATGAAAAGCATACCATAGGAAAAACAATTTATTTTGAGTCTGAAGAAATTCTTCAGTTCTCTCATTACATTATACTGCTATCCAGCAGGATCGGAAAAAAGGAGATGCGCCGAATTCTTCAATACTCTGGAACCGTTTCTGAAGAGTGATCAATGAATGCTGAATGAATTTCACAATAAATCTTGTTGATGATCTCGACCTCCCTCAATATTCATAAAGATTCATATGCTGGGGTTGCAACTTTGCTACGGTCACCGTACTAAGGAAAAATGCTTGATACGCATCCGTGCAACTTTGCGTATTTGGAAATTGTTTTATATTTCCATATCCTGTAATCGTATCAATTTTGATGTCAATGAACTTGGAATATTGAAAGATGGAATTGTGAATACTAAGTGTTTTTGTTTTACAATATTGAAGTTGAGGTTGAAATATCTTTCAATTCGTGTATTTGTTTGAATGAATATGAATTATTTTCCATATTTGACACTATAAAACCTAAAATCTCAAATTTGAAATACGAGATGCCTCATGTCTGTATTTGTTTGTTATCTCTCTCAATATTTTCATGATGGCAGATAGGTTCTAATTTCCAGATATCTAGTTTCCTCGTTCAAAAGCTTCGTTCCATTTCAACCTCTATAACTCTCAGTTCAGTATGCCCAAACGATTGAGGAACATCGTCAAAAGAACTCTCCACGTTCAGAGCCAAAACAAATAATTTGGCTGTTAGTTCACCTTAAACTACTACGATGAGTCTCATTTACAACCGTATTTTTCTCAGTTTCACTGTCATCTTCGGCTATTGCTTCGTCTATCATATCTATCGCTTCGCCATAATTATGTTCATGATGAAATAATGAACCTAAAAAATAAAACCTCTTCCGAACAATTTTTTTCGTCTTCAGGATAGCACAGTTTGTATCTCTTCGAACAGTAACTAACCGTAAATCTCTTGGATGTTCATCCATCAAAGACTGCCGGTTCGTGAGAATTAGTCAGAAGGTTCTATGAGAACCTGCAGATTTTCTACATTTTTCTGACGATTGTGAATACTTGTAATTTGTGTTTTGTTATCATTGAAAAAAGGTCACGCCCATTGAAGAATCTTGTTACTTTATTTATGATATCATCACATTTTTTTCTAAGATTTTCGTATTTGAATCAGAAACGATTAAATGGAAATCATCTGCGTATGCAGTAATGTTCCATGTAAGTGAAACTTCTCCTCTTTCATATACTTTATTGTGTAGCAATCCTGTGAATATCTGATTCAATTCTATAACGAATATTTGGAGTAGAAATTGAATTGAAAAACTGTTTTTTGAATAATTCAATGATCATATAAAAGTAGTTGTTTCAAAAGTATTTTTTCTTTACAGTAATTCAATGTTTATATGAATGTAGTTGTTTTTCCTTTCTTCCAATTTGTGTTTGAAAGTTACTTCTTAGCACACATCTTTGAAAAAAGTTTATTTTGAAATTAATTGTATTCTTCCCTTCTTTAGAAGATTTCCACATTTTTCTGTATTTAGAAGAAGAAGAAGAGTGCCAAAATCTTTCTTCCTCAATCAGTATATAGTGCTAGTCAAAAGTCCCCTCCCCCCCTCGTATCTTTTGAACGGGTATAATGAAATTTGGAGGGTGGAAATAAACGGATGTAGGCTTCTTAACTGGTCATAACAGGTGACGCAATAGTCATAAATGACGTCACAAGGCCACTGTGACCAAAAATTTTAAATGGGACCCTATGGCAAGTGACAGCTCGTATAATCATCATCATCATGCCTTGATTTGCACTTCATAAGTTCTTTGAGGTAATAACACAGTTGGCAAGACACATCGCTCTGGAGATATGAATATTTTGAGCGTTATTTCGTTGGTATCTCCACAAAAGAATTGTTTCTACTAAACCGGAATATTTTATCCTTGTTCCTCCCATTTATTCGAGTTTTCTTCAAATGTGGAATTCATTCGAGAAGATGAATATTTTCTGTCTTCAGCAGAGCGTAAAGCATCCGTAAATTACCTCCATCTCATTGCAATGCAGCATATTCATTTCATTACGTTTTATAGTTCAATTTTGATGCGTTGAATTCGAACATTACTTTTACGTTCTTCTCGAGAAATTCTGCAAATATGGCGTAACATACGTTGAAAACAAATGCATTTTAAATTTATGAGGATAATTTCTCTAATTTTTACGAACTTAGAATAGGAAATTTATTTTCATTCTGTGAAAGAATTGCTCGAAAGTAATTTTTCACAAT